CTGCACGTCGACCGCAAGAAACTCCTGCTGGACCCCAACGCCGACTTCCACTGCGGCTGTCGCTGACGGCGGGGAAGCCAAATTCTGGATGATTAAATGAAATCAAAAGCCTCACTTTGAACTTTAAAGCTGACACTTTCCCCTCCTTAAACGCTTCTTTTCCTTCGGTCATAAAGTGGAAATTAAGATTTTTGTCTTTTGAAGACGGGCTGCGACTTCTAATGACCGCTGAGCCGCTCTGCTCGAGCACGCGGCGCTTTTCTCTCGCCTCAAACGCGGCTGTTAATTCAAGAAAAGAATTTCCTTTGATATTTTTTTACATCCTGATTTTACAAAGTTTGAGCTTTTGTGACCCGACAGTAACAGAGTTGCTCTCCACGAACCTGGAGCCCACTGAGCCTCAGAGCTTAGGCTTTTGGAGGAGGAGGCAAAACTAATGAAATGTCTCAGTTTGGATTTCATTATGGCTTTGACTGCCTGGAGAGGCGCAATCAGAGCAGGAAAACACAATGTTTGAGCACATCTCCAGCGTGGCTGTCCAGGGAGCGAACTGCATTCAGGAAAATTCAGGCCATTGCTGGACTCTATAAAAAGCTCTGAATCTTGTTCCGCTGCCACCTTCACAATTTCAAAGCCATTAAAAAAAATGTTGCTTGGTAATCAGACTTCATTAGAGATTTGAGTGCGGCTTTCTTGAGCGGTAGCTGCTGTGTAGGAGTAGATCTGTAATCATTCGACGTGAAATGCCAAGAAATGTGTCAGCAGACTCGCGTTGACGCCGCTGATGAGAAGTGCTCCTGGGATGCTAATCAAATGTTTGAAGGCACTTCTGCAGCAGCAGCAGCTGCTGGTTTCTGGGATGTTTGTGACTGAGTGCAGGCTGGCAGCGTGGCTGCTGCTGAAGGCAGGACTCATTACCAGTCAGATGTCGTGTTGTATAATCCGCTGATGTAACAGGAAAAAACAGACTCGTAAAAATGATCTCGTTGCCTCTGACTGGTGGGATGAGTTTTGATGTCACGGATGGTTTTTAGGGTCGTCTCTTCAGCTCCGCTTCCACCTTCGAGAGACTCTTCACACTACTGAACTCTGGGGCCAAAGTGGGTGCTTCAGTCCTGAGTGAAAAGTGCTGGATCTGACCGATCTGTCTCTGAACAGCACACATCTTCACTTCGGTGCTGCGTGCGAGTATGAAATCAAAGTGTGGAACGCCAAAATCTTTCTCAAGCACCTTGCTTTTTATTTAATTCCAAATTTCTACATGTTCTGGCTCATCTGGAGTGGAAACGTCCTCTTTTTCCCACTCAAATCTGCTCCACTCTTACAGTCTTTATAATGGCTCCATCTCTGTTCACATGAGATATGATAGTGTTGTAATGAAAAGTCTGTGCTGGTGTTGTATGTGTTTTTTCCCCTTTTATTGTACCACAATGGGAGCGCTGCAGCGAGCTTAAACTGGGAGAATATGTGGAAAATGTCATTTTTTTTGAGCAATAACATCAAAAACAGGATGATAAAAATAAAAAAAAATACAGAAATATATATATATTACATGCTAATGCCGATAAAGGTTAATGTGGACTGCAATATTGATTACTTGCAGTTCACTTAACCTGGATTTTGTCAGTTTCACTGGTGCTTGGACGCTGACACAGCCTCTCCTGCTGCTTTGCTAATTGTCAGAAATCCAGCAGATGGTTGAGGGAAAAATATATTTGTGTGTATATATATGTATTAAAAAAATCTGTGCACTGATTTATCACTTCATTCTCAATTCAGTGGATTAGTTAAAAAAGAAATCCAATGATTAATCTTAATGTACGCAAACTGTTTTTAGTAGTTTGAGTATTTTTGTCCGTTTTAATGTTCAACAACATATCACAATAAAATGAGTTTCTGAGAGACCTGAGGTTTTTTCAGCTGCTGCAATAATACAATGTTAGTTATATACAGATTAACAATATGACCTCGTGTGAAATTCAGGGTTTTTGTTTAACAGTCTTAAAAATAAAAGGTTTGTTCTTTCTCTGCAGATCTTCAGTCAGTTTTGTTTTCTGGGGTCTTAAATTGAGTTTGTTTGCAGTTTTCACTTCCCCAATAAAGATGGAAGTGTCACATTCTCTCTCTCTTGATATTTAAACGTCTGTTTACGCCTTCATGGCTTCTCTTACATGTGTGCCGTCTCCCCCACATCACTCGCTGCTGTTCGGCGTCGTGCCGCTCTGATAACGGCACCTTGGCTTGCACCTGTTTTTCGCTTTCATGTGGCTCACCAGACAGTTAGAGGTGTCTTTAAAAGGATGCTTGTGTGACCCTCGCAGTTATAGCTGTTTTAAAATGAGCCGTCAGTGAGGGCGTGAAATTTTGTAATTGCTGAGAAGTTAAAACGGGCAGCGTGACACAGACTGTAAGAACCTAACGAAACCTGTGACATGTGAAAACCCAGAAGAGGCAGTTTTTCAAGTTTAAATTACTTAAATAGACTCAAAATGTGGCAACAATGAAAGTGTCGACTGAAGACACTTTTAATCTTTCTCTTCTTCTTTGAAAGCAGCTCATGGAAAAGGTGAAAATGAGGCAGACACAATTCCCCTCATAGATTT